TGGGCCGGGTCCTCCCATCACAGGTGAACCAAGTTGAGTCTGCTTTGGAGACCAAAGCGGGTAACTGCCCTGTCTCCTGGTGAGGAAGCCACGCTTGGTCCTCCCCTGGTTAGTGCTTGCTTCTGTAGCACTTGATTGTCTCTCCCGGGTTTTCTATGGGTTTCAGGGAGGCAACTGAGAAACGCATTTTTACTTGAAGTAAGAGTATTTTAGGATGGGTTTGGTGGCTCACGTCTGCAATCCCAACACTTTGGGAGGCTAGTGAGGGCGGATCACAAGGTCAGGAGTTCGAGACCAGCCTGGCCAACATGGTGAAACTCTGTCTCTAGTAAGAATACAAATATTAGCCAGATGTGTTGGTACAGGCCTGTAGTCCCAGCTACTTGTGAGGCTGAGGCAGAAGAATCCTGTGAACCTGGGAAGTGGAGGTTGCAGTGAGCTGATCTCAAACCACTGCACTCCAGCCTGGCAACAGAGCAAGACTCTGTCTTAAAAAAAAAAAAAAAAAAAGATACATAGATGATAGATAGATAGGCAAATAGATAGATAGAAAATAGATAGATGCGAAGAGCAGGAGAACAGAAGTTAAGCCACTTTTCAGCTTTCTTTGCACTACTGAATTTGTGCAGAAAGCCAACGGGAAGCCAGCTGAATTGTACCCCAGAATTCTGGCAGCGTTGGCAGCGGGGATGGCAGGTGCCTTCAGAGCAAGGGAGAGGGAGCAGGGCGAAGCACATGAGCACTGGCTGGCCCCTCCTCAGAAGCTGCGGGGCTGGTCTCTGGCCCCAGGAGGCACAGTCAGGGGGCCCTCCGCTCCGCACCTGGCTGCGGATGGATGGGCCTTGGCTGGGGACCTCCATCCACTGCATCCACCCCTTCCTTCACCACCTCCCTTCCTTAAGGGAACCTGGGGGGAGATATTCCAAATTGCCTAAAAGTTCAAGTATCAAAAAAAGAAACTAGCTGGCTCCTTTGTGGACGCCATCGTTCTTTTCTGGATGTCTCTGCTTAGACCCACAGGAAGAAGCCAGAGGCAAGGCCCAGTTTCCAGGGGAAGATGGAGGGAGCTCAGAGAAGGCCACAGACAGGCACAGGTCCGCCCTCACACACACAGGGCTCTCCCTCCTCCAAAGACAGCCAGTTCTGGCACTGGCTGGGCGCTCCCACCCCTGACTCCACTTGAATTCCCTGTCATAAGTTTTGTTTTTTCCTGGAAATATTTTATGCCATTGTGAAGCTATTCAAGGAATAGCCGAAGGGAGCCGAAAGCTGCTGGGCGCTTCCTCTGTGATGAGCCCTGTCCTCGGGAGGCTGCTTCTGGTCTCAACCCCTGTCCTGCATGGGGTGTTGTGTGAGAGGCAGGAGGCTGGGGGCTGTCAGTTCTTCCTCCTCTTGCCACAGCAGAGGAGTGTGAGCCCCCGCCCCGCTGATGTTCACGTGACTACTTACTCTGGTGTGGAGCAGGCCTGAATCCCAGCCCCCTCTGCCTTAAGCAGAGCCTCCCAGCTGAGCCCAGCTTGGTCAGCTGGACCCTAGCCCAGCTGCAGATCTGAGAATGAGGAAGAATGGTTGGGAGTCACTGAGTCTGGGCTGGTTTGTTACATGGTAATATTATGGCTGCAGTTGATTTACACAGAGAGGTTATATGACTCACCTAGAGACACACAGCCATAAAGTAGCAGCCCCACAATCATCTCCACTGCCTTGGGTCCTTGTCCGGTACTAACCTGGCCTCAGGCTGGGCGTGGGTGGAGTCACAGTAACCTCCTAACAGAGGACCCAGGATGCAGGTTCTGGGATGATTTGGGAATAAAAGGCAGGACACAGTGACAACAGTGTGCTAATCCCTCTGTGAGCAGAGAGCACCGTCCCATCATCCCATGGCAGGACTGTTCGCAGAGCGAGGCCTGGGAGAGTGCCAACCTCCTGAGTCTGGCAGGAGGGTACATGGGGGCAGGTCTGGTCCCTCCGGCACTGTATAAGCTGGAGGGACCTGCTGGGAGGCCTCAGAGACCCCAAGACCTGCCCCCCCCCCCAGGCTGCTGACTCAGCACTGCTAGGTCTGAGTCAGCAAAAAACACTGTGCTGGGCCACACAGTGCCTTTGTGTGGAATTGCAAAAAGATGCCCGCTCCAGGTGAACACAGGTGGCAGGGCTTGGCCAGGACAGCTGAGGCAGCCTCTGCAGAAACTTGTAAAAAGGCTCTTTTTCTTCCAGACAGGCACAGCCCAAGGAGAGAGTATGACTGGATTTCAGCCCCTTCTGCCCTTGGACCAAATGCCTTGCTTAGGACACAACCTGAACAACCAGACGCAGTAGCTCTGGAAGAGCAGGGTCAATGCCCATTTGGCTCCTGCTGCCCGATAGTGAGCCCCACCCAGCAGCCAGGCCAGGAGCCAGCTGTGCCTCCCCGACTTCCAGGATAGCAGCAGCACACAGTAGGCCCACAGCCGTCAGTGTGTGCCATGGATGGACTATCAGTGACAATGGGGGGTGACTACTCTAGGCTTCTGCCTGCAGCCCCCCTTGTGTGCGTCAGGCTGGGGATGGGGCATCGATCTGGCGTCTGTCCAGTGTCCAGCAAACACCAGGAATCCAGCCCCGAGGCTGGGCGTGGGGAAGCAGCAGCAGCTGGAGAGCCCAGCTCCCCCCACCCCTGCCCTCAGCCCTGCACCTGCTGCCTGATGCTAAATTACTCTCGGCCACTCAGGTGGAGCCACTGCTCGAGGGCCCCAGGGAGCAATGGGCTGAGATTCTGCAGCTGAGGAGGGAGTTGATGTGTGTTGGGAGGGAGAGGAGAGGAGAAAAGATGGGCTGGGAGGATGGGGGAGGGGGATCAGCTCCCGGCAGCACAGCTGCCCCCCACTCCCATGTAGGCCTCCCTGGACAGGCAGAGCATGGGAGGAGAGGGCTCTGGAGTGTCACGTGCCAGGCTATATTCCATTCATTCATTTTTAAAAGGATCGAATGAAGTAAAAGGTACTGGCCCAACCAGCAGGGATGCAAATTCCTTCAGTTAAACACACGCGGACATTTAGGGAAAGGAAGATGCCCAGCTCAGCCCACCTCAGAAGACCCAGACGAAACAACCTCAAATCCAAGGGAAAGGCTGTTCCGGAAGAGACGGATCAGTGGAACCAGTGGAAGGGACCAGAGATGCTGGCTGGAAGAGACCTGAGAGAAGGGTCTTGCAACCCAGAAGCCACAGAGGTTGAGCTCCTGTTACTCTCGGGGTAAAAGTTGAGAAGAAAACCTCTGGCCAGGCTGGTTGCAGCCCCTGCAGACCACTGCCGACCTGCCCCGTGCACAGGCCTGAAGCAGCAGCCATGCTTCCATCCGGCCCCTGCTGTCTTCCTCCTGAGCTCTTCAGCTGTGAGCAAGTCTCCCTCTGAGCGCCCGCCCCCACCTCTCCTTCCCACCCTCGCCTTAAGTGACTCATTTCCGTTCTGTTTTGTAAAAATGACCCGCACGGAGATAAAGCAGTGGCAGCACGGCTGCAGCTCTGGGCATGTCGCAGGGCCTCCCTTGAGAGCTTCACAGATGTTAAGCCACTCACACCTCGCCACCGCCCTTGGAGGCAGGCATCCCCATTTTACAGACGAGATCACCGAGGCAGGAAGAGGTGGGGTAAAGGGAAGAGCTGGGATCCAAAGCCAGGCGGGGATGTGAACTTGGTTCCCGGGTCACCTGCCTCCAGCATTACAGGAGAAAGGATGAGGGGTGGTCACACACCTGGGCTGCAAATGCCACCTCCGGGCACTGGCCACGTGATACCTTTCAAGGCTCCATGAGATAAGATGATGTCACGGGGCTGTAATTTCCATTTCCCAGGAGGAAGTTAAGCCTCAAGGGGCCTGGGCACAGGGCCCATAGCTGCTGCATGGCGGTTGGGGATAGGAATGCAGGACTATGTCAGCCCTCCTGGCTCAGCCCAAAGGTCACTTCTCAGCGGCCCCCTCAGCCTCCAAACTGTCCAGTGCTCTATCAGCCATCCTGGGTGGCCAGATCCCAGCCCCAGCTGAGGTCAGTCCTGCCTGTGAGCACCTGCAGATGGAGGCACAGCTGGTCCCGCCGGTGCAGTCAGGAAGCAAACACCTGCTTCCTCACTCCCATCACCCCACTCAGAAGCATCCCGTGCGCGCAGGGCCCTGTCTGTGATGCTGAATGGAATCCACACGTCACAGGTGGGTGCTGGCAGGCCTGGGGGCCCCAGGCATCCCCCAGCTCTGCAAGTAGATGCAAAACCCGCTGCGACTTCAAAGAGGGGCGAGGAACGGAGTTTGGCCAAGGCCAACAGAATGACAAACGTTAACCTCCTTTTCCTCTTAGCAGTTTACCCTCAGATACACGGCCACACATATAATCACAGACACTGGTGATACAAAGTGTATGGTTAGGTGATTTCCTCATTGTGGAAACATCAGAGAGGGTCACACAGTAGGATCATAAGCCAATGTCTTCCTTCTGGAACCTTCCACTCCAGGATTACAGAAAGCCATGTATGTCTACTACCATTTCCTACCCCAACCCTACCTGGGCTTTTGCTCATGATTTCCCCTGCCTTGGAGACCTCCTCTCCCTGGCTGACCCCTGCTCATCTCCAGGACTCAACTCAGAGGGCACTTCCTCCAGGGAGCCCTAACTGATTGCTCACTGGTCAGTCACCCACTCAATGACCCCTGGGCCTTGTGTTGTCCCTGTTCATATCACTCCATCAGAGCAAACCCTGGAGGACAGGAACCTGGAGTGAGACCCCTGTGACCAGCCCCCAGCCCTTCACCTGTCCTGACAGGTGCTCAGAGAAACATCTGCTGAGCAGAACTCCTTTGCAGCTTAAGCAGAAGGCCTCCCAGGAGCACAGGAAAATGAGCCAGGCAGCAGGGAGGGACCTTGGGCTAATGCTTCTGCTGCTTGGCCTCAGGCCAAGGCAACCCTCTCCTCTGATTTGCCTAAAAGCCAAGATGGGGTCCCTTTGTGCAGTGGGGGAGGGGTGCATTTACCTCGCAGGGTTTAGGGCTCCGCCGCCAGGGAAGTCAACCATTGTTGTTTGCTGACAGTCCTGTGACAAATCGTTTTCTGCTGCAGAGCCAGGCTGGATGTCTGGCTGGTCTCCAGAGGCCTCGGGGTCACTGGTAGAGTCATTGCTGCCCGTGGGGCAGCCGGAGACCAGCTCCTGTGTGCCAAGTTCCTGCCTGAATCCGCTGGGTCACCAGAGCAGGTCTGCCCCAGGGCATCTGATGGGTGCAGGGAGCGTCCATGTACCCTTCCAAGGGCTGGGGGCTACAGACCAGGCCAGGGGAAGGCAGGAGTCCGCCGTGCTGCACTGCAGAAGTGCCCAGGGAGCCAGGGCACAAAGCTGGAGCCGACTCAAAGTGCTAGTCCCAGACGGGATTCACGGCCCGGAAGAATAACTGGCTTCTGTCTCGGAAACATGATTTATTAGGGAATCGTTGGGTTAAGCTGTGAAGATCGTCTTGGCTTGCTTTAATGGATTTCCTGGGTTGCCTTTTTGCCCAGGCCCAGCACATGAGTGCACGGGGGGCGCATGAAGTGACGAGATGCCCAACGTCTGAGCTCCCAGCAGTCCTGGAGACCAAGTGTGGTGGCACCAAGCTGCATCTCGCCAACTCGGCAAGGGCTCAGCTGGCTGTCCTCGACTGCACTGGCTTTCTGTCCCCTCTCCATCATGTTCCTGATGCTCAAAGCTAATGATGTTGTCCCAACATACAGAGGGAGGCAGGAGGCGGATCACTAAACCAGCGCTGCAGGTCACTTCCGGCTTGGAAATTACAGCGAGGCGCTGGGGTGGTCGAACCGGCAGAGGGATCACTGCGGTGCTTTCCAGTCTTGGGACTCCCTGAGGGGTGGTAACGGGGCCACAGGGTCTCCAGGGGGTCCCTGAAAGCCTAAGTGGACAGCATCATCTTTGCTTGTTGACCAGCAGCATCTAGCCAGACGTACACGGCCGTCACTAAATGCAGATCGAATAAATAAATGATGGATCTGTGGGTAAATCAATCCAGGAATAAATGGATGAATGTGCTAACCCATCAGAAAACCCCATAAGCTAATTTAAAGGGTGGAACTCCATATGCTGAGGCTGCTCTTCTTATGTCTCAATGGCTCCCCAATTTTCCTCAAAATAAAACCCACTAGTTTCTATAATTGTAAGTCACATGGGATGCTGACATCAAGGGAAGCCCGGGGAAGAACCCATGGGAACTCTGTGTAATTTTCATTTCACAACAAAATGCTAAACTATGTAAAATCAATGTATGCACTTTGACCCTTCCCGGGGAACCCTCAGCTCCTTGTCCTTGTCTTTGTCCTTCCATGAAGGGACAGCCACTCCAGGAGAGGACAGAATTGGACGGGTAGCACTGACCTTTCCCTCAAGCCCCTCGTCAGCCCCTTCCCAAAGAGAGAGGTGACAGCTCTGTGGGTGAGCCTGGGTCAGGGTCTGGTGCCTGTGGTCCAAGCCCCCTGGACTCCGTTTTTGGGGGGCTGCCCTCAGGAGGGAAGTACTCTTCTCCTGGGTCAACCACCTGAGTCTCTCTTCTCGGGGGAAGGAAGGGGTTCTGGATGGGAATGAGGCAGTGACTGTTTGCAGCTCGCTTGATAAGAGTACGCTTTGCCCACTCTGCCTCCAAGGGACACATCCAGAGTTCAGGTTTATGCCTCAGGGCCTTTGCACATGCGTTCCCTCCTCCAGCCTCGCCCTTCCCACCTCACCCACAGGATGCTGCCCAGCCATTCTTTGTGGCTGACTTCCAAGCCACGTAGCACTGCCCCTTGCATTCCTCCCGTCTCTCAGTGCACGTGTGATACTTGCGTGCACGCGGATTTACTCACAGGAGTCTCTCCCACTGTCCTGTGAGGTCCCCGGTGCCGGTATCAACACCGACGCATCTCTTTCCCCTTCATGCCACACTGCCTGGCACAGAGTGGGTATCAACAGATGTTTTTGTAGTGAATGGACTGACTAGAAAGTTCTGGTCAGTTTTAATGTTTTTAAATGTAAAATGTATAATGACTTAAGTTAGGTGCTTCATTTAATAGACGAAAATCCCTTAGAACACGGGAGGGAGCCTGGGGGCAGAAAAATAACAAAACAATTCTCTATGGCTGATCGTGTTCGCAGCTGTGAGATCCGTCCCGGGCTCACCATCCCAGCATTGGCGGCACTGGGACTGTCATTCTTTGCCATAGGAGGCTGGCTGGGGTGTTGTAGGATGTTTGGTAGCTTCCCTGGCCTCTACCCACCAGATGCCAGCAGAAGTGTCCCAGCTGTGACGACCAAAAGTGTCTCCAGGCAAGGCCAGATTTTCCCTGGGGGGCTAAAGCTGCACCCAGTTGAGACCCTCCGGACCACTCATTCGATAGGTTCTGGTGCAGTAAGTATTTCCTGCGCTGCCTTGACATCGTCAAAGCCACGCCCCTCAGAAGGTGCCAGGCACCCGCCAGCATTGCTCTCAAGCTCTGACAATGAACACAAATCCCTAAGCCAAAGGCAAAACCACTTGCCACTAAATGAGGGCTTTGATTGCTACCAATTTCTTAAAGCACTCTCTGAAGGTTCTGCTTCAAATATTTATGGAGTCTATGAAATGGCTCCGGAGAACGAGTGGTCCTATTACAGTTAGAACTCCAGTGATGATTTATGGACCTGGGAATTGCTGCAAATGCTTTGTCTAAGCTCTTGGTGAAAAGCCAGGATCCTCGCTGGGCTCAGGAGCTCGGAGGGTGCTGGGGCGTTATCGGCGTGGAGGGCAGGACGGGGCATTCCCCTTTTTTCTTGCAGACGTTGTGCAGGGAGTCCTGATTCCTCGGTGACTGTGGCCAGGCACGTTCCAGGATCAAGCGTGGATGCCGAGGACAGAAGGAGCTGCAGACAAGAGGACAATGAAATGGTCTCTGCGTCCACATGTTTGTAAAAGCCTCTCTGTTCACACATTTAATCAAAGAAAGAGGTGACAACGATACCTAACAGCTACGGGCACTTTCTGTGCTTGGCACCAAATGCTCCTCACGCATTGGCTCACTTCCTTTGGTGACAGTTCAGTGAGACACACGCTGCCATCACTGTGTTCTGTGTCAGAAACGAGCATGGGGCAGGGTAAGGCTCCCACTCCACCCCACGCAGCAGGTGCCTGGCAACACAGTCAGGAGCGGGTGTTCCTGTAGAAGGATGTCTTCCATCAATGTTCTCCTTCCCAGTGACAAGAGAAAGTGACCTTCTCTTCAAAGGGGAACTAATGTCTTGCTGGCGGCAGGCCTCATGCCTAGCACATCCCAGGGCTTCCCCCAAATGTGCCGTCTTACTTGCCCTTACTTAGTTCCCCCAATGAGTTATCATCAGGCCCACTTTACAGATGAAAACCCACATAACAGTGTAAAAGATTCTAAAAGCCTTCACTAAATGTATGCAGCTCTGAGTGGCTGGCTCTGCATTCAAAGCCAGGCCCATCTGATGTGAAATCTCCGCTCTTTCTACATCCCCTTTCCAGTCACGATTAGACCTGTGATCCACACCTCTCAGGCACCTTCCCTGCAAACCACAGGAAGGACCGCCTCACCCAGTAACATGTGAGTCCTGCTAATACCTCTTCTCCCTCCGCTAAAGGGTGTGGCAGGTGTGTCTGTGCCTTGCCAGGCAGAGGAGCAGAATGGAGCAGAATTCTTCACCAGTCCCAGGAGGCAAGAGCAGCCGCAGATTTGCAATACTTAGGGCCTTCTGCCTCACTGGTGGAAGACAGCTGAAAAAGAGGCTGGACAACAGAGGCAGGGAATCAGCGATCACTGACCACCTCCCTGTGTGCCAAGCTTGACCTTGTCCCTGCCCTCAAGGCACTTCCAATCCAGTGGGAGGGGCAGGCACATAAACTCGATATTATGCTGGAGTGTTCAAGCCAGAAGAGAGACCCACACAGGTGCCGATGAAGCCTCCAGGGCAAAAGTGCCGAATGCTCACTGCGGGGCTGGGAAGGCCTCACGGAGGCTGCCTCTGAGCTCAACTTTTGGGAAGGAGCAGGATTCTGCTTTCTGTTAAAAATGCAAGGTCATTCTGGGCCGACTGATGTGTGCATGGAATGCGAACACCAACTTTAGGAGTCTGGACTCCACCTTTTTTTTTTTTTTTTTGAGACAGAGTCTCACTCTGTCACCCCTTTGATAAGGGATTTCATGAAAGGG